ACTAGCCAGTACTTCTTTAAAAATTAAAAAAAAATTACTAGCACATGTTTACAATTCATGCAGTTTATAACCATCTTGGGGAGTGGTTGCATATACATATTACAGCTTAGTTTTTTAAAAATCCCTTTCCTTTTCCCTCCCTCCTCCTCCTTGGATTCCCCATCCTCTTTTTCATACTTGTTAATATTATTTGTCTTAGCTCATGTTATTGCATGCAGTGTTTACATTAATTAGCATTATTAGGTTCATGTACATGCATAGCTTTAGTCCTCTCATTTCCCTTTCCCTACTTTACCCCTCACTTCTTCTTCCCTTGGACCATTTCCCTATAAAATGAAATCTGTCCCCGTTCCCCTTTCTATCTATCTTTTATCATTTCTTTGTACTTTGCATCACTCAAAAGAGAGATATGCAGTGTTTAAGTTTGTGTGTCTGGTTTATTTCACTCAACATTGTATTTTCCAGGTGCATTCATTTTCCTACACATGTCTCAAATATGTCATCTTTTATAGCCAAGTAGCATTCCTTATATATAAATACATTTATGCAATCATCTGAGAATGGGTATCCAGGTTGCTTTTAGGGAAGTCAACTTATTCTGTATTTTGGTGTGCTGCTACAATCATTTATTATGTAGTCTGTTGTTTTTTAAAACTGAGCTAAAATATATGTAATATAAAATTTACTATTTTAGTCATGTTTAGGTGTATATTTCAGTAGTACAGCTTACATTAATCACTCTTATCCAGTTCAGAGGCATATTGTACACCCATTGTCATTTTCCATCTCCTGAACTATTTATCTTCCCAAACTGAAACTCTGTGCCTATTAGTCAATAACTCTCCCTTCATTTCCTGAAAACTCATTTTTACTTTCTTCTTCTTTTTTTGAATTGTTTCTTTTTATTACTTTTTTTCATTCATAAATTTTAGGCACACAATAGTTACATTAATCATTGAGATTTTGCACCTTTATGTCAGTATCTTGGTTTTGACTTTTTCCCCATACCCCTGCCTTCCCTTCACCCTCTCCACCCTTCCCTATTTACAAAGACTGTTTTTTTCATTTTCTCTTATTTTTTCTTTTCTCTTCTTATCCTTCCCCCACCCTTTCCACTTCCCCTACACTTTTAGACCTTTTCTTCCTATTACTTCTATGATAATGAACTTGCTCATGTAAGTACCTCATGTAAGGGGAATCATAAATTTGCCTTTTGTGCCTGGCTTATTTCACTTAGCATAATGTCTTCAATGTTTATCCCCTTTGTACCATGTATGAAAACTGTTAAGTCAATAATATTCTATTGCATGTTTATACCACATTTTCTTCCATTCAACCAATGGTGGGCATTTTGGGTTGTTTCTACTTTTTTCCTATTACAAATAATGCTGTTATGAGTGTTGGTATAAAATATTTTATGATGGATATGAAATTTACTTCAACATAGTAACTTTTTTTGTGGGGAATGAACTCAAGGCCTTGCACTAGTTCTGCAACTATGTGGCATCTCCATTTCTACAGTAAACTTTTTACTGTCTATATTTATCCCATATGATCATGTGTATCATCTTAAACATGTACAATGAAATTTATTTAAAAATATTTTCAGGATCCTGATGTCAATGTTTTAGATATATAACCCAATATGAAAATGTTGAATCATATAATTCTATGTTTAATTTTTTTAAAGAATCCACCAAACTGATTTTCACAGTGGTGCACTATTTTACATTTCCAATAGCAATTCACTAGCATTCTAAATTCTCTGCATGCTTGCTTACACTGTTATGTTTTTGATAAAGGCATCCTAATGTGTGTGAATTGCTAATCACTATAATTCTGATTTTCATTCTTCTAGTGGCAGTGATGCTGTGTGTCTTTCCATGTGATTATTTGGTCATTTGGAGAAATGTCTATTCAAGTCCTTTTCCATGATACTAGTATTGAGTTGGCACTGAAACAGGAAAAGATTCTGCAACAGATTCAGGATGCTCTGTGAGCCACACTGACTTTAAGAATGAGCTGATCTAGTAATAGCAGAAGGCTCTAATATTAGAGATGCTGTGCATACATTCTTTGGTAATTCCCTAAAAGAAAGCCACAGTTTATAGCCATAAAATTTTGGAAATAGGCTATGTCCTGTCAGTCAAGTTTCACAGTTGGAAAGCAATAGAATGGCAGTTTCACAGTTGGAAAGCAATAGAATGAATGAATGATCCTTGGAATCAAATGGCTTTATGCTCTGAGCTTCCCAATATTTACTAAGTGACATCTAACCCACTGAATCATAAAAATGTGTATGCAGCCCAGAATGTTACTCTTAAATAAAAGTGCTACATATTGAGACTGGATTCTAGCAGGTCCAGAAAGCACAGAAAAGATTTGTAAGGAGGCAATTGTGATTTCCATTGTACTTGTTTCTCCTGTTTTCACACTGCTCCTTCGGCCTTCCCCTTTACCAATTAATGAAGGAGGAAAAGCACAGATCTAATTTATGCATGAATCTGCACCGATTGTCAATATTAGTCAGAAGTAGAGCTGCTGACTTAGAGTCTGAAAGATACTAGTAACTCTTCCCAATGGGTAGAACTTGAGTTAAAATACATAATTGAAAGGAGAGATGACTTGAGATATGGATCTACACTGACTGAGAAAGTAGTGGTTAAAGGTTGGCCAGCTGGTCAAGGACTGGAAATGATGAAAGACTAGTGATAGCAGGTCTGCAGAAAATAGATTTAGAGAAACCTCTCAAAATGGAATCAATATAAAGATAAATATATTTATATAAACATTAACAGAGAGCCTATTTTATAGAGGAGGTTCCTAATATAAAGGTAACAAAATGGATCATTTAGTAGATGTCAGTCAACAGTTTTCCATATTATTCACTGTGGTTGTTCATTGTACCAAGACAGGAAACCTCACCATGGCTCATTTGGCTACCACCCTGCTGACCATCTGCCAAAAGCAGAGGCAATCAGTGAGCTCTCAGCCTGGCAGTTCCTTGGTGGATTAAATAGTTGGAGTATCTGCAATTGGCCCCTTAGGGTAAACCCTTATTTTATATATGGATTTGTTCCTATCCAAAGTTCTTCTGGGCTTAATGGTTGGTACAGGGTATGAAGCAATATTTAGCAGAAGAGAAAGGGTTAATGTACCTATATAATGTGAATGTTGCCTGAAAGTTGTCTCAATGAACCATGTGACTTGATGTGAAAAATAAATGATGTCTTTATTGTGTCACTAATGTTACTGTATCTCATATAATCAATGTGTGAAAATATGAAAATTTTGATTAAATAAATTGTAGGTACTCATTTTTATTATCCATTTCTGGAATGATTATCTGAATTTTATCAAGATGACAAATTATTTCTAATTACTATAAATTAAATAATAAATGCTAAAAATAATAAATCTATAGCTATTATTACTATTTCTAATCCACTTTTTAATCTTATAGACTACCTTACACATCCATGTATATACACCATCTCCTTGATTAAACTTATGTTTAGCAGCAAGAAATACAACAGATTTTCAAATGTGGTTTTCCTTGTTTGAACTTTTAAAATCTTATTTAAAGAAATAGGAAAAGATTCACTTTAACATTTCCAAGTAAAATTTAATCTACAAATACAGAGAAGCCAGACCAAGTCAATAAGTTTTCCTGTTGTATTAAAAAAAATTTGATAGTCTCATTTCAAGACTGTCATAAGTTATGCTGGAGAGGGCCAAGAAAATGAGGGTCCATATCATGGGCTTCCTTTAGGACTGAGATATCAAATGAAAGTTCTCTTTAACCATACATATACTAGTGGCAGAAGTTTATAAAATACCTATTTTAATTAAAAACTCCAGCCTAGCCATCAAAATTGTCTAGGCATTAATCTGATGCGCTGACATACTTCTTTCAATAAGAATAGAAACAATATTAAGATTCCATAAAAATAGCCAGGCATGGTGGCGTATGCTTGTAATCCCAGCACTCAGGAGGCTGAGGCAGAAGGATCACTGTGAGTTCAAGACCAGCCTGGTCTACATAGTGAGGTCTAGGTCAGTCTCAACTACATAGTGAGACCCTGTCTCAAAACAGAAACAAAAACAAAACAAGATTCCATAAAAATATTTATCTTTTCAGATAGAATCTGATCACATTTTTATTTGTGAAATAACTAAATTGGTTGTCAAAGTTTAATAGTTTTATATTTGTTATTTTTAAACAGAGGAGATAACCCATCACAATGAAAAAAAAGAATATTAATCTGGATTTGAGTTTAGGTACACAATCAGGCTAACTTTGAATAAAAAACTAGAATTGATTTATCATTTAAGAAAAAAAAATATATCAATAGATAATCAGACTCATAAAACATATAAAATCTTACTGATTTTTAAAAAATATGTATATAATTTTGGATAACAAAAATAAATGGATTAGGTTGCTGTTAGAGAAGGAAAGAGGGAAAATGGCTATGTGAAGATGAATAAATTTAAATTTCTGATCAAATAAAAAGGTAGAAATTTGTATAAAAAATAGAGTGTATCTATATCATTGTACCATCCCTAGATGAACACAGAGAAAACCTTCACAGTTCTTATAAACACAGGGGCTATAAAAGTAACGGGAAAATGATTTTTGGCAGAACCTATATCCAGTTACTGCCAAGACCTAAATGTTCCAAAGATGGCTGAAGATATTTGATGAACTCAGAGTATAGTCAGATTATATAGCCGCTAAAATTTAATTTCTTTTCAGTTCTTTCAACAAAGCTTTTATATGCAAAAAGTATTAATACTATGTGGAATTAGATCTAAAATGTCCAAGAGAATATGCCCATTGACATCCCTGGAAATCTTAATATAATTCTAAAATAACTATTAAAGAAAAGAGTGGCTTAATTTGGGCCAATGCCAAACTAAGGCAAAATATCTATGATCCAGCAAGGAGACACTGATGCATAAGAAATAAACAATAAAGAGATATTCACACTACTCACAGGAAGTCCCTGTTTTCCCGGTAGCCCAACGTTTCCAGGATTTCCTGAAATGCCATCTGCTCCATGGTATCCTTGCTTGCCTTTTGGCCCAGGAAGGCCTGGAAGTCCCTTAATAAATGAAAATTACTTGAATTATACAAAGATGCTGAACAGATGTTTAAGTGAGAAATACCTTCATATTCTTTGAAGGAAAGGTAAATTTACACTTCTGTACCCTGCCCCAGGCCATTTTTTCTTCATTTCCTACATTCCTTAATAATGTGTTAGTTGAATGCAACAAATAGCAGTATAAAAGTTCCCTTAAAAAAATGCCAGGATAATCAGCAATCTACTGTGATTGAGCCTTAGTGTAACCATTTGATCCTTAGTGGAATTCTATGGTATTTCTCATCTTGCCAACTTGTGCTTTATCGAGCCATCAAGGAAAGATCAAGTATATGCACTTATCAGTTTAGGATGTCCCTGCCTTTTTTTTTTGGTACTGGGGATTGAACTCCGGACCTTGTGCTTGCAAGGTAGGTGGTGACACCACTGAGCTAAATCCCTGGCTAAGATGCTTTTTATCTGCAGATGCCAATCATTTACCATCTACAAAGTTTTGTATTGTATTATTTCCCCCCCAAAACAAATCATGGCTCTTTTTGTTGCCTTTGAATCATGCCTAAAGAAAGCTTTGAATATTTTGTTTCTGCTTTTCTGCAACTGGGTTCCATCTGCAGGCATCTCTAATCTAAATGTGATCACAACTTATCTTTATTTTCTGTAGTTTTTTTTTTTTAAACCAACAAAGGTTAATGAAAGCAGGTATATAGGGATTGGTTGGAGTACATCAGAAGTCTTTGCTAATAAGCCAGTCAATACATAACTGCCTGACTAAAGGAGGAAACTGAGGCTAAGGTAAAATTAATTTTTGCTTTGTGATAAGATTTAAAAAAAAAACAAATGTTCAAAGACTTTCTATTCTGCTTGCTAGGAGGAGAAGCTGAATCCTTCAATTAAAATGCAGCTCATGTTTTTTAAATCATGCTTGAAAATCTTTGACCTTTGTAATAATTCATTTATTCATGATTTTAAGTTCCCCACTTTCCAGGGGTTCTCCATGAGAGAAAAGCATGTATCCACAGAGAGGGCTCTGTAACAGAGGAAAACAGTATCTTTTAGTTGAAAGGACTTATATTTAAGCCACAAGTTTGGTTTTGAGTTAGTGGTCATATTTTGTTCCTGCCGTGTTCCAGCATGGGTTTAAATTTTTTGCCCCAAGACAGTCTGATTTATCCAACATGACATCATTGGCTCTGCACTTTTCTGCTTGCTGAAGTTGTTAATTCTATTTAGAAAAACAGGAAAGATGAAAGAGGCCTTTTACTTACAGGAATGCCAGGTTTCCCAGAAAGACCAGAAGCTCCTTTTTTCCCCTTAGTGCCCTAAAAATGGGAAGCACACTTGTCAGTTGACAGTAACAGAACAGAATGCTGTGAACTGGCTGCTGCAGGAAGTACTGCCACTAGTTCTGTATCACTGAGACTGTCACTCAACTTTCCTAGGAGTCCTAATGCCTTCAACTGAAAATGAGAGATTGTGATCAGATCTCTTACAAACTTTTTTCTAGTTCCAAATTCTATGATTTAAAACCTTAAATCACAGTTCTAAAAGGGAACTACTTATTTAATAAATGTGACCAGTTCTAGGCAGAGTCATTGTCTCCTTTTAAAAATCTTAAAAAATATATTTTATATAATTTATTATATAATTTATTATTTTAAAATTAATTTTATTGGTGCATTTTAGATATTTATAATAATTACATTCATCATAAGGAATTTGTACCCGTACACAATATATTTTGATTTTTTTCCCCAATCCCCACCCCTCCCTTCAACCCAGCTTCCTCTCTTTATTTACAAAAGCTTTATTTCCATGTTCCTTCTATTCATTTTTTTCCTTTCCCTTGCTTCCTTTTCTTCTCCCTCTTCCCTTGTTTTCCTTCCCACTTGAACAATTTTCTTCCTATATCCCAATATATATTATGCATGTTGGTCCTTATTTACCCTTTTAGTTTCTCACACCAGAGAAAAAAATGCAAGATTTAAACATATGTGTCTGATTGATTTCACTTAAGAATATAGTCTCAAGGATACTTACCTAGAAATGGCTGAAGTTTATTCTTCTTTATGCAGAGTAGTGCTCCATTGCACTAAACTATACTATTCAATAAATATATAATATTATTTATATATAATATAATTTAATAAATAGAATATTTAATAAAAATATACCTCACATCTTTATCCATTCATCCATTGATGGATATTTGGGCAGTTTACAAGATTCAGCTATTATAAATTGTGCTGCTATAAACATGGGTATGCATATAATGCTGTTGTATGATGCTTTTAATTCTTTCAGGAAGATACCAAGAAGGGGAATGAACCCTGAGTCAAATGGAACCTCTGGCTTTAGTTTTCGGGGGAATCTCTACACTGATTTCCACAATCTACACTCTCATCAACAGTGAAGAAAGGTTCCTTTTCCCCCACAGCCCTGACAACATTTGTTTTTGGTTGATATTTTGACAATAGCCATTCTTTCTGAAGTGAAATGGACTTTGCCTCCTTTTGAAAATAGCTAATTTCAGTAAATATTTATTGAATATCATGTATTCTGGTATTTGTTAGGAATCTGAAGGCAGAGTTCCTGCTTACAAGGTTCTTAATACATAGAAAGAATCATGAACTGAGGGCATAAGATGTGCTTCTCTGGAAGTGTGAAAAACATATTTGCAAAGCAAGGAAGAGCTATTTATTTCCCAAGGAACTGTTTGTTTTTTCAAGTGTGTGATGTTTTAAGTCATAATTGTTTTAGCAGCAACTGGTCTGCCAGGATAGTTAGGAACTTTGCCCTTATAAATCATGCCATTTTTCTGATGTTATCCTAATTTTTTTTAAGAAGAGAAATATGGAAAAGAGTGACCTGGTACACAAATAAAAAATAATAATATTGTCGTTACTAGACACATTTCTCAGAAATCTTTAACAGTAGTCATAAACATGATAATTCTACCTGGGATGTCATAAATATAAAGACAAACTGCTCAAAATTTAACTTAGCAACATTCAAAGAAAGGAACAATTTTAGATATTACACCTTCTGAAAATAAGTTTAAGCTTTTTAGAAGATATAGTGTATATATATATATATATATACACTCATAGGGAGAAAAAGCATTTTCTGCAAGAGATATAAATTCTACTTTTAAAGAGTTTGATAATGGGGAAATAGATGGATCAAGTATTCTACTCAATCTTTGAAAACTATTTTTAAAAAATTTGCCTTAAAAGTCACTAATACAAAGTTTGTCTAAAGCTCAGCATACTATGCAATGGGATTGTTGGTGACCTGGGTTTAATTGAGGTATATATAATTTCTGACACATATGATACTTATAGTAAAATATATTTTTAGAAAGAAATAAGCAAATAAAGACCGACTATTGAAAAACAGTTCTAAATTCATTCCTCTTGAATAATACTAATGCCGATAACCCTCAAATATGTTACTGGAGTGTTCACAGTATTTCTTTTTATGCAAACAGATAGATCTGCCCTAGATTCTGATTTTCAAAACAGACTTTTCCTTGGCTCATGAATTTCAAAATGGTCCAATAAAATTCATGGTGGGATTAATAATTTGAGAAAAATATATCTTCAGTTTCAAAGTCATTCTTTTAAAATACAAAAACATGACTCTTAAATGTTAAAAATCTATTTTTCTGTGTAAATAAAAATAGGGTTATAAAGGACGGAAATGATAAAATGCATGCCATAAAGAAAAGACTCAGAAGAATTATAATGTAACAAGAGCTCTTTCTCTATGAGGCGGATATAAAAATATTCAAGTTAAGGAAGGAAGAGGAGAAGCAGAAGAGAAGGAAGACTTGGGTCCTGAAAGAACCCTGAGAAGTGTCCTTTGCTCTATACCTTGCTCCCAAACCATGGGGTGGGTAGAAACAGTAATACTATCATATAAGTTTGGAGATCTGGGCACAGGAAAATGCCTAGAGAGATTAATGTCTTCTCTGAGAAGTCCACATAAAGTATACAGCAGAAATTTCTGCCTGATATGCTTAGGACAGTGGAATGTCTCTCTGAGTTCCCCAAGTACCCAACATAACGTGAGGAGCAACAAAATGCTGTTTCCATGATGCCACATATAGAAGAACAGGGCCCCAAGAGTCCTATCTGTGGAGGCCTTGCTCTAAACCGAGATGAGAAAATAACTGTGAATACAAGTGTGGGCCAAACAATTTCTGCCAAAAAAGGCCAGGACAGATGCCAACACAATGCGATGATGGTTATTAAGGGCCAAAAGAGATGGTGTACATTTCAGTGGATGTCAGTGTGAATGGATGGTGACTGAAGATTAAAGTCATCTCTAATTCTGTGTCCCCACTATAGCAAACTGAATGTTACAGCGCACTTGTGAAGAAAGTAAATGAGGAACATCCTCAATCAAATATAGCATATTTGAGTAGATGGACCTAAAGGATGTCAACTGATTAGATTTCCACCTGTTAGGTTTCTACCCCAGGCAAGATGGACACTGAGGACAGATGTTAAGTGCCATTATAAAGAATACAAAACTATGTGTTTAGTATATGTCACATGTATGCATTTTTTTTCCAAATATTAAAATGGAAAATAAAAAAGATTCACATATCACAACAAATCAATTAAACATTGAGGTGGTCCTCATGTTGGGGATTATTTCAGAAGAGTTAAATATTGTGCCCAGAAATCATCTGTGGACCCATCTAGTTTTCCTAAAAACAAGAATGTTACATAGACTTGCATGAGGCATTAGGAAGCAACTCATAGAACACCACTAAAGAAAAATTATGAATATGAGAAATATTTAAAGGTGTAGTTTAGTAATGTGAGTAGAGTAATTATGGTAACATCTATGTATTAAACACTAATATTATGTTTAGAAACAAGACCATGGTCTCTGATGATCTTAGATGTTCAATTCAAGAAAGACATAATTATTGTCACCATAACTATGAGAAAGGAGGACAGCTAGAAAAATGATAGTCTTACAATGGAAAAAAATTATCTCTCTCTCTGTCTGTCTGTCTATCCATCTCACTAAAGTGTACATCACGGTTACTGTTATGGACTAAAGGTCTGTATGCTCCCCAAATCCACATATTGAAATCCTACCCTTAATACTAATGCCTAATAGCATTAAAAGGTTACTCTTTAGCCAGGTGTGGTAGTGCACGCCTGTAATCCCAGCACTTGGGAGGCTGAGGCAGGAGGATCACTGTGAGTTCAAGACCAGCCTGGGTTACATAGTGAGTTCCAGGTCAGCCTCAACTACGTAGTGAGACCCTGTCTCAAAAAAAAAAAAAAAAGTTTACACTTTGGGAGGTGAGGTCTCCTCCCATTCAGGGTGGAGCTCTCAACACACATGTGTAAATACTGAATAGTTTCTCTGGTGTGAATAATCTGCAACAATGCATAAGGTTTTAATAAGATTACTGACATTTAAATGGGAAG